TGAAACCTTTCTGTGTGCTTGGTTCTGGCTATACTTGGAATCTAACTGATTATTGTGATCATGCCCAAAACAACATGGTCTGCGAGAGGTAGGCCTTATTTTTTTCAGCCTAACAGTGTCCCGTGTGCATGCACATGCTATTTGGAGCATTTGAAAAAGATTAAAAATGTCCTTGAAACCTCAAGGTCTCCAAAGGAAATGATGGGGACATGTAATCACTGTTAATACCCCCAAAGGGTTACAGAGGGGCACTTGTTTGTGTGCTGTTCTCAGCCCTTTATATTTTGGGATGAGCAGAACAAGAAGGCTACTTTTTGGTGAGTCTCTTTTTTGGCTTGGAGTCTTTTCTCAGTTTTATTGATTATCATACACTAAACTGTGATTTAGGGGGTGAGGGAGGAGGGTTAGAGATATCTTTGTACTTTGATACATGGTAAAGGGCTAGTGTGGGAAAGAGAGAAAGTAGAAAAGTGGCCTGCTGAATTAATAGCCTGCCTATAAAAATTGTGACCATAAAGGTATGATTCAGATTGGGCCCAGAGGAAATAAAAGATGTTTTTTTCATATGCCTCTCATGTCATACCTCTGTAGAGATTCATTCTTTGGAGAATGTGAGCTATTAACTAAGGCTATTGGTGGGGTGGGGGGAAAGGGCGGTGAAGAAGCTGGAGGGAGGTGTGAGGTATAATACAATTATTTAATGGTCACTGTTCAACTGTCTAAGAAAAATTGTGGTAGCCTAGCAAATTTTGTCCGCCTATTAAGTGTCTGGAGGTGCCAGCATAGGCATTTGTATTTTTATTTATAGCTAGAGAACTAGAAGGGATCTGAGTAGCTTCACAAAATGGGGGAAACAAAAGCGCTGGAATCAGGGATTTGCCTTTTAAATACGCAGAGTAGCAAGTAACATCAGTCTAAATTATCTGAAAGTTTGTTCACTTTCTTGCTCTGATTAGATTGAGGAGATGGCTATTTCCCAGACTCCCTCCCACTTAATGAATCTGTGGTGCTTCTTTCTAGAATAGGAGGCATCTCAGACATCCACATTAATTTAGGTTAAGGAGCATGTTCGGGTTTTCTAGAGGAGCAGAACTATAGGGTATGGGTGTGTTTGTGTGTATACATGGATAGATTTATAATGAATTTGCTCATGTGATACAGAGGCTAAGAAGTCCCAAGATATGCAGTCAGCCAGCCTGGAGAGAGAAAGTAGTATCATTCCTATTTGATTCTAGAGACCTGAGCAATGGTGAGTTGATTGTGTAAGTTCTCATTCCAAAGCCGGAAGCTTCAAAACCCAAGAGGAGCTGATGTTTCAGTTTGAATTAAAAGTCAGGAAAGAACCAATGTCCTAATTCAGTCAAGCAGGAGTTCCTACTTGCTAGCAGGATTATCAGCCATTTTGTTCTATTTAGACCTTCAGCTGATTGGACGAAGTTCACCCATATTAGGGAGGGAAGTCTGCTTTATTTAGTCTACTGATTCAGATACTAATCTTATCAAAAGTACCCTCATTGACACACTCAAAGTAATGTTTGACCAAATATCTTGGCATCTCATGGCTGAGTTACACTGACACATAAAATTAACCATCACAAGGAAGAAAAATAGAAATGCTGAACACAGCAGAATTTTCCTTATCTTACTTAAGTTTTGCCAAATTAACGTGTCTCGAAGATGGAGGCATAAGTAGACACACTGTGCCTCCTCACACAACCAAAATAAGGTCAGCAACAATTTAAAAACAAGATAACAAGCAGATCAGACAGAAAATTGAACTGTATGGAAGTCGGACAACCAAATATACATATTCATCCAGACTGGTAGGAAGGGCAGACAGAGTCAGGCAGCCGGGCAGAGGAGGGTCACGACACAAAAAGCGGCACTGGGCTCATAAGGCATCCTGGGCACATAGGCAGCTGGCAGACCCAGCGAGGCAGCACCTGTGAAGCAAGGCACTGCGCAAGGTGCCTGGCTGTCTGGGCGATCCCACATTCGCATGCAGATAAAGCAGGCAAAACTGGGCAGTGAGACAGACCACAAAACCCAGGATCCCCACATCGGGAAATAGAGCCTGGGGACACTGATTGAAAACACCTGTGGGGGTTAAGGTGCAGGGAGAGACTCCCAGCCTCACAGGAGAGTGTGTTGGAGAGACCCACAGGGTCCTAGAACATGCACAAGCCCACCCACATGGGAATCAGCACCAGAAAGGCCCAGTTTGCTTGGGGGAAGCAGTGGAAGGGACTGAAATCCAACGGAGAGAGGAGCAAGTGCCATTGTTCCCTCTCGGACCCCAGCCCCACATACAACATCACAACCCAGCGACTGGGCTGCCTCACCCTGGTGAACACCTAAGGCTCCGCCCCTCATATGTAATAGGTGCGACCAGACCCCCCCCCCCCCCCCAAAAGGCCTGAACAGAAGATTGGATCAAAGCTCCACAGCAAATACAACTAAATGACCAAGAGATAGCCAGCCTATCAGATGCACATTTCAAAGCACTGGTGGTCAGGATGCTCACAGAATTGGTTGAAGTTAGTCGCAAATTAGATGAAAAAAAATGAAGGCTACAATAAGTGAAATGAAGGAAAATGCACAGGGAACCGATAGTGATGGGAAGAAAACTGGGACTCAAATCAATAGAGTGGACCAGAAGGAAGAAAGAAACAACCAAACAGAAAAGAATGGAGAAATAAGAATTCAAAAAAATGAGAAGCTTAGTGACCTTCAGGACATCTTTAAACATTCCAACATCTGAATTATAGGGATATGCAGAAGGGGAAGAGGAAGACCAACAAGTGGAAAAGTTATTTGCACAAATAATAAAGTAGAACTTCCCCATTCTGGCGAAAGAAATAGACTTTCAGGAAGTCCAGGAAGTTCAGAGAGTCCCAAAGAAGTTGGACCTAAGGAGGAACACACCAAGGCACATCATAATTACATTAACCAAAATAAAAATGAAGGAGAGAATCCTAGAAGCAGCAAGAAATAAGGGGACAGTAACCTACAAAGGAGTTCCCATCAGACTGCCAGCTGATTTCTCAAAAGAGGCCTTGCAGGCAAGAAGGGGCTGGAAGGAAGTATTCTAAGTCATGAAAGGCAAGGACCTACATCCAAGATTGCTGTATCCAGCAAAGCTTTCATTTAGAATGGAAGGGCAGATCAAGTGCTTCTCAGATAAGGTCAAGTTAAAGGAGTTCATCATCACCAAGCCCTTGTCTTATGAAATGTTAAAGGGACTTATCTAAGAAAAAGAAGATGAAAAAACATGTACAGTAAAATGACAGCAAACTCACAATTATTAACAACCACACCTAAAATGAAAACAATCTAAGGAAACAACTAGAACAGGGACAGAACCACAGAAGAGGAGATGACATGGACAGTTGGCAACAGGGGAGTGGGAGGAGGAGAGAAGTCAAAAGTTACAGAGAATAAGTGGCATAGATGGCAGGTAGAAAATAGATAAAGGGAGGGTACGAATAGTATGGGAAATGTAGAAGCTGAAGAACTTATGACACATGGACATGAACTAAAGGGGGGGATGTGGGTGGGAGAGGGTGTACAGGGTGGAGGGGAGTAAAGGAGGGGAATGGGATGACTAATAGCATAATCAATAAAATATATATATTTTTAAAAAGTGTCTTAATGGAAATACCTGTCTTTTTTTTTAGATTTCTCTTTATTTCTTTAAATATATTTTATTGATTATGCTATACAGTTCTCCCAATTTTTCCCCCTCTGCTTCCATCCACCTGGAACCCCCCATTCCCTTCAATAATACCTCACCCCTTAGTTCATGTCCATGGGTCATGCATATAAGTTCTTTTGCTACTACATTTCCTATACTGTTCTTAACATCTACCTGTCTATTTTGTACCTACCAATTTGTACTTCTTAAGGCCTGCACCTTATCCCCCATTCTCCCCCTTCCCCTTCCCAGCTGATAACCCTCCAAATGATCTCCATATTTGTGGTTCTTTTCCTGTTCTGCTTGTTTGTTTTAGTTTGCTTTATAGATTCAGTTGCTGATGGTTGTGAATTTGTTGCCATTTTAATGTTCTTTTATCTTCTTTTTCTTTACATAGTTGTTCCCTTTAACATTTCATATAATAATGGTTTGTTGACAATGAACTCCTTCAGCTTTACCTTATCTGGGAAGCACATTATCTTCTTTTATCTTCTTTATCTTTATCTTCTTTTTCTTCTTTATCTTCTTTATCTTCTTTTTCTTACATAGTTGTTCCCTTTAACATTTCATATAATAATGGTTTGTTGACAATGAACTCCTTCAGCTTTACCTTATCTGGGAAGCACATTATCTGCCCTTCTGTTCTAAACAATAGCTTTGCTCAATAGAGTGTTCTAGGTTGTAGGTCCTTGCTTTTCATCATTTTGAATACTTCTTACCAGTCCCTTCTAGCCTGCAAAGTTTCTTTTGATAAATCAGCAGACAGTTTTAGGGGAACTTCCCTGTAGGTAACTAATTGCTTTTCTCTTGCAGGTTTTAAGATTTTCTCTTTATCTTTAGCCTTTGGCATTTTAATTATGTTGTCTTGGGTCCTTTGGGTCCAACTTGTTTGGGATTCTCTGTGCTTCCTCGATTTGTATGTCTATTTCCTTCACCAAATAAGGGAAGTTTTCATTATTTTGTCAGAAGTTTTCAATTTCTTGCTCTTTGTCTTCTCCTTGTGGCACCCCTATAATTTGGATGTTGTTACGTTTGGAGATGTCCTAGAGGCTCCTTATTCTCTCCTCTTTTGTCTTCTTGCTGTTCTGATTGAATACTTTTTTTTTCCTTATGTTCCAAATTGTTTCGATTCTTGGCTTCTTCCCCTCCACTGTGGTTCGCTGTAGATTTTTCTTTATTTCACTTAATGCAACTTTCATTTCTACCTGGGTCTTTTTTATGCCATTGCGGTACCTGATGAGTTTTGAGCATCCTGATCACCAGTAGTTTGAACTGTGCATCTGACAGGTTGCTTATCTCAGTTTCATCTAATTCTTTTTCTGGAGTTTTGTTCTTTTTATTTGGGCCATATTTTTTTGTTGCCTCAGTTGGGCAGCCTCCCTGTATTTGTTTCTGTGTGTTAGGTAAAGCTGCTTTGACTCCCTGTCGTAGTAGAGTGGCCTATTGGAGACAAGGCACCTGTAAATTACGTGGGGTAGAGCTTTAGGTAATTGCCAGGGTGGGACAAACCGATTCATTGCTTTGTGGCTCTGTGGGTAGGGAGGACTTCGAGAGGGGATAGTGCTACTGTGGGGCTTCTGGAGATTGCCCAGAAGGAAGCCTTCTCCCGGCACACTCCTGTTGCCAGTCACTTCACTTTCTCCCCTTCTTCCCATGTGCCACTTGTGCCCCTTCTAGCTATTGCTCTAGTGCTGAATCCCAGATGGGGTGGGTCTGCATATGTCCTGAAACCTTTGCAGGCCCTTTAACAGTTTCTTGAGAAACCTGCAGTTTCTTTTGCTGTCCCAACCCCCACTGGTTTTTACAGCCAGAAGTTATGGGGACTTATCTTTCTGGCGCTGGAACCCTGGACTGGGTGGGGTAGTCTGGTCTGGGGCTGGGATTGCTCACTCCAGAGGTATCCCTCATGATAATTTTCTACCACCCGTGAATGTGGGGCTGCCTCTCTGCACTACTCCTCATCTCTGCCCCTCCTGCCCATGTGGATGAATGTGGCTTCTTTAAATTCTTAGTTGTCAGACTTCCATACTGCTCGATTATCTGACGAATCTGGGTGATAATTATTCTGTAGTCTAGTTGTAATTTTTGGTGTAGTTGTGTGCAGAGGCGAAGCATGTTTACCCTCACCTCCATCTTGACTGGAAGTCCAAAATATCTGTCTTGTTTAGAGACCTCAATATTACTGTTAAACCATAGAAGAAATACATACAGGATGAGGACCAGTTTGCTGTGTGTGTCATAGGTATTTTTTCTCTTCTATTTATGTTATCCTAGAAGTCTGAAATGCCTCCTATTCTAGGAAGAAACATTGTAGATTCATTGGTCTAACACCATAACATGTGTGGGGTTGATAGCTTGTTTCTAGGAATATCTTGCTCTAAAATATATCAAACACAGTTAAGTTACAGTGCCCAAGGCAGAGGGCTACATAACCCAGACTTCCCATGTGTTTCATTAATTTACAACCGGGAGGCTTACAGATGCGGAAATCTGGAGCCTTAATAGGAGTCAGGGCGTGCCTTAGCTTTCCCTGATTGTCAAAGAGAAGAGAAAACTTGCAGTTTCAGATCTTGAGCCCTTAGATTTGAGGCCTCTACTTTCATATGAAATGGCCTACTCTTTGAGTCCCATGCAGAGTTAAACAGGGTGGTGACTTTCAGCAGATGAATTTGGAGCAGTGAGATGGAATAATTCTGGTACAAAAATTAATTTTCCGTTGAAGTTCCTAGTGTCAGTTCTCTGAAGAGTTGAGGAACTTACAGGATCCAGAGTGACATTTTGTCCCTGTTGATATAGCTCTTTGATTCTTTCCTTACAATACTAATTTCTAAGAAAAAGGGATTATTCTAGGTGGAGGATATGGGGAGGGCTATAAATCAAATAGCTTCCTTAGCTTATTATAAGTTTTAGTTGTCAACATTTGTTACATAACAATTGAACAAATGCTTGTTAAATGTTTTCCCTGTACAGTACTGTCTAGTCCAATAGTTAAGTTAGAAGGAAGATTTGGGGGGGAACACTTTTTCTGCAACAGTATCACTTTTAGTGGTTGTTATAAAAATTCTTTGTGTCATTGTATTGCACATTTATATATGTGTGTGTGTATATATTCACAGACAGACAGACATGCACATTTCACTTGAGAAGTAGAAAGGCTATGATGAGCACTGAGGTAAAAGGAGCAGTGACACAGCAGAGGACTGGAGCCTGATGGTCTGATTCTCTCATTGTACATACCTCAGGCCCTTGTGTTTCTGTAGTTCAGTTTTGGGACACTGTTGGCCTTGGCAAGCACCCTGTTATAAGGTGTGTTGAAGGGATTAAGTATAGGTAAAAGTCCAGTGATTCATGAGGTTAAGAATAAAAGGCTTTGAGGAAAGGATGTTCATCATGCATTGCATCTGTATTATATTAAGTTAATCTCAAATGTAATTGCTTTTAAATTTTTTTTCTTGTTAAATTATTGCTGCAAATTAACTTCTTTCATGGCTTGCATGTTTCAGTGTCTTTCTCCCTTGTGTTCAGGTGCTGTTTCTTTAAGGAATACTAATTAAATATGTCAGTCTAATGAGGAGGGAATCATAGTGTGTATCTGTTGTAAATAATAATAAAGCAGCATCTGTGGGTTTTGGAGGTGAAGAGTACTTCAGAAAAGACACACTTTAGGAGGAAAAGGAGCAAGGCTTATACAGACAGATGATGCTAGGGGAAAATCCTCTTTGGGCCCTGGTGGAGACGCAAAGAATCTTGTTTACAGTTGCTGTTTATAAGAATAAACCAGTGGAGATTTGGGAGTTTGGGGGACTGGCAGGACAGAGTTCTCTTATTGAGAATTTCCAAAATGAATCTTGCATAACTTCTGGCGCAGGGAGTTGGAGAAGTATTTGATGGGGTAAACATCACAGGTGGCTATTCTGAAGGAGGAAATTGTAGCTTGTAGTAGTGTCAGTGTCTCCAGCAGTAGGCTGGAAACCACAAGGCTGTCTCAAGGATTTAAAATATAATGGGTAAAAAACAATGTTTACAACTGGAGATTTTTTCCAGGATCAAAATAGAGCTGTTGTCTGATCCAAAAGACAATGAGGGTTTGATTCCTCATACCTGCCAGACAACTGGCATTACATGCATTCAACTCTAAGATCTTACACATATAAACCTTATGCTTTGCCAGATTACACTTAGAAGGTGTCCATGGAAGTGGAGTCTATATGTTGCCTTTCCTTTTGCAGCTAGTACACTTATTTCTGTGTATTATGGGATGTAGACTTGTGATTCTTTACCTTTTCTAATAAGATGTATCATTTTTAAGGCCTCCAAATTTTTAGACTCATTTCCAACAAGGTGATAGTTTTATTTTTAGTACCTTAGTGAAAAAAATATGTAACAAAGAGCTGCTATGGTTTCAGTAATGCTATTAAATTTATTTGTCTTTATTAGTCACAGCAGAATCTACAATACATCCAGTTGAAATACAGAATGTACTGATTTGTAAGATGTATTTCAGAACTTCATTTGCTCAAGGACACATAGCTGGTATGTTGCAGAGCCAGGTCTTTGACTCCATGCCAGTTTTTTTTAACTTCCATAAGACAAAATCCAAAATCATTTGAGTTTGAGGTTTAAGACTGTTACTAATAAGGGTCTTACCCGTCTCTTTCAGCCTTCTCTCTCTGTGTTCCCACAAACTTTATCTCCCACTTTTGGCAGGTCCTGGCCAAGGATCCCAGGTAAGGCATCTGTTTCTTTTGATGATTTGCTGTTTAGGTCCACTTAAATTTTCTGTGTTTCTACCTCTTTATTCATGTATTTCTTTCTATCAGAGATATTTCTTCCTGTCCCCTCCTTTTGGCTTAACTATGACAAGAGCTTATATGTTTAGAGGGAGAGAGGATTTGTGAATTTAGGAGATAAAGGCTGTGAATATTGCTTTGGCATTTATATAAAAAATGAAATGGCTAAAGATGTTGACAGGTACTTAGTTGAAAGTAGACAGTTGTGATCTGTAGTGCATCTGGTCTTCACAAATCTTCCTACAGCAGTGTTATGTGCATTGCTCTTGAACACCATTTCCTCTGTTTTCATGCCAGTTCAAAACACTGGGTCTGAGTCAGTTTTTCTCCTGTCCTGCCTATCTTTGCTTGTTTCCTCTTTCTTCCCTCCTTTAGTGGTAAATAAAAATTTCTTGAAAAAAAAATTGGTGTTCTCAATTTGCTTGACTTGCTTGTTTTACTATGTTAGAAGGGAGGGAGGAAGAGTTCTTCTGGAACACAAAAATTTGTACTTATCTAGTGTTTGAGTGAGAACTGCACACTAGCCACTTTTGCTAGAGCTGCTTTTTACCTGCTGGGACTGAGTTGGAAAGAAAGGCAAGTTTGCTCTGGCAGTGAGTAGGGAAGATCAAGAGATACACTCATTTGCCACATTTTATATTCCCCAGATTCTTGGCATATTCCCCTGTGCCCTGTTTGTTTTTTTCTTTGTTTTTTAATGTACATATTGTAATGTGAAAGACGCCAAGTTAAAGAGAGTCATATTTATCTTATTGTGACTTTTTTAAAAAGTTTCTTCTGGCACAAAGTTCTTACAGAGCTGTAGACAAAAAAGAAAAGTTTGTATTACTACCACACAACTTAGAATAGCAACATAATACTTCATGTAATTCATCCTGGGATGTGTGTTTGATAGGTGCTTATGACTAGAGAGGGAGTGGAAAAGGAAAAAAACATGGAATGTATTATGTGTTGTGTTTTACTGCTAAAGTTGCAATTGTGATCCTTAGCAAATCTAACATTCTGTGGAACTGGGGAGGGTGCTAACCATCAATCTCTCCTTGCTGGAAGATAGGACAGTCAAGAATATAGATACTACTTACTCAAGTTCAAGGTATGTTTTCCATGTATAGCACTGAATACAATGTTGGCATGGTGATAGGATGGGGTACTCACCGAAATTAGTTATGAGGAAAGCACAGATTCAGGAAAGTCCCTTATCCTTTTTGTCACTTGTAAGTATGACAACTTGGTCTATATGATCCCCCTAGGCCTGAGAAAACATATACTTTTATTCTCTTTACTAATAATTCTGGTAAGTCTTCTTGGGGAAAGGAGGAAAAGAAAAGGAATGAACTATCAAAACTTCATTCTCTTCACCTGACTAGAGAAGGGAAAAGAGCTTAGAGATTTTTTACTCCAGCAGTACTTGGGAGTCAGAGGTAATAAGTGGTATTAGATTGAATGGCTAAACTTAATTTGCTCTTTAAAGTTTTTATTCTGTATGAAGGAATAAAATTTATTAACAATAACCTAACCATCTGACGAAACTTAGACTTAAAAGAATATGTCTATCCCTGGCTGGTGTGGCTTAGTGGATTGAGTGCCAGCCTGTGAACCAAGGGGTCCTTGGTTCAATTCCCAGTCAGGACATGTGCCTGGGTTGTGGGTCAGGTCCCAAGTGAGGGGCACACGAGAGGCAACCGCACACTGGTGTTTCTCTCCTTCTTTCTCTCTTCCTTCCCTTCTAAAAATAAAATCTTTATTAAAAAAAGAATATGTCTAACAGGCCAGAGTGCTTTATATTCATCAGTTTCTTCTTGAAAACTAGCAAAGGCTTACATTTGGCAGGTCCTTGCCAAGGGTCATGTTCCTTTTGATAGCTTGTAGTTAAAGATTTGGAATTAAGGGAGTGTTAAGTGGCCCATTTCTAGAAATGGGAGGAGGCAGTCTCTGAATAGGGAGGGATGTAAAAGAGTTGGGAGAAGGTGCTTTAGATCATGGTAGGTAATTACTGAGAGGACAGGGTTTTAGAGAGAAAAGGACCTGTATTCCTGTGAACTGGGGCAACATTTAACATCTATTCCTGTTGCTGAGGTTAGGACCACCATGTAAAGCCTAGCCCTTCATACCAATTCTTCAAACAAATTATTAAGAGCCTACATGTGCCTGGTACTTATTTTTTTGTTAGAATAAACAAGGTAAGTCCCATCGTTTATAGAGCTTACATTCTGGTGGCATTCAAACTGTTTGTTATTGATTTGAGGAATGCCCAAATGGAATTAGAATGCCAAGGATAGGCAGACCTGCATTAGTTACTGATTATGCAAAAATGTGACAAAACTTTGCAAATTCCAATCTAATAGGGAAAACCCTGATTCATATTGATAAATGGTACTCGGAGGGCTAAGCCAAAAGTTTTTAAATGTACTCGGTCTGGCCATCAGCTTTTGCCAAGGAGCTGCATTGTTCAAACCTCACTTTCAGAGTAAGTCTGTCTCTTACCTTGTTCATTTTCATATAATGGCCTCAACTTGTAGCCCTCTCTCTGTTCATTTAGTGCATAGAGGCAGCTGTATTTACTTGGCTTTCTCAGAGGCCTATTGTACCCAAAGGAAAGTCTGATTCATCTATCCTTCCCTAGTTAGTATGAAATCTTTAGTTCTTTGGATCATTTTTGCCTTCATTGGATTGATGTTTTCCTGTGAACAGCTTGGGGTTGAGTATTTTTCTCTCCCAGTTGGCTTTCTTTCCATTCTTCTGGAGAGTAACCTAGACAACATTGCTTGGTGTGTTTGAGGTTTTACCTGCACATACCTTGAAGGGCCACCAGACTAGTGACCAGCATCACCCAGACCTCTTGGAGAAAGCTTGAACTGAGAGCGCCTTTACTGTGGCTGAACTCATGGTGTCCTGTTTGTTTCAGCCCCATCACTGTGTAGTTTCTGGTTCAGAAGAGAATCAGGGTAGTAGGGAAGGGTGTCAGAAATCAGCGCTTCCCTTTGTATCACCTTAGAACATCTTTTAGTCTCCAAGTATCTCTCTCAGTATAATTCGTTGCCCAACTAAGTATTTTTTTAAATGTTGTGGATGATAATGATTTGCTTTAGCAGCAATAAATGAATATGGAATCCATTGTTTATCACACTGAAGATGCAAATAGGCCTACCTTGAAGGAACTGTAAAGTCATGCCAGAGAGAGCTAAAATAGCTTAGTTACTTTGGAGTTGGGTGTACTAGGTCTCATTTACAAACCATCTGTTAGAGTGGATCAAACAGTTCACCTTAAGTTAAAATCTGGGCTTTTGGAATAGATCTGGATTTTTATCTCCCACTTAGTAGTAGCTAAGTAAGTTTACACAAATTCCCTTTCTCAAAAGACCATGAAGATTACATGAAATATGACTTAGCACCATGCTTGACACAGTTGAGAGGATGAGAAGCCATTGTATTTTAACGGAGAACCATCACAAATAGAAATAATTAGAACATGAACAGTAGATTACAAGCAGTTTCACTAGTGAGTGAAGTTAGCTGGAACAGTACTAAATAGTAGTGCCAGGCTAATGTAATTTAGATTTCGTCCCATAGACAGTGAAAAGCATTAAAACCGAATGGTGGTGCGTCATGTATAAGTTAGCATTTTAAATTTCTGTTGGCTGTATGGATTGGAGTTAGAGACCATAAGAGTCTGTGGACCATTTATTAGGCAACAGCTCACTGCCAGGCCCTGAGGTTGGTGTGAGAGAAAAATGAGTAAGACAGCTGGAGCTCAAGGGACTTAACAGTTAGGAGACTATTGGAATGTGTTAAGTGTGAGATGATGACCTGGAGAACACTTGGAGAGAGAGGAACAAATGTGGGGAAGGACTAGTAGTATTTACTAACAGTAGAGGGGAGCAGGTAAAAGGAGGAACCAAAATTTTGACTAAATTATGGACAGAAATAGTCTCGGGACGATAGGTTTGAGTTTGAGGAGGTGATAAGTCATTCAGGAGATTGGAGGCTGGCTGTCAGTGGAAATGTTTAACTGAAACTTAGGGAAGTATTTAGAGATGAAGGAGTTGATTTGTGGGTCAGCTGCAAGGAAGTGCAGGTTTAAATTATGAGGGTGGATGAGAACTTGTGAGAGAAAGTGAAAGATGGAAGGTTAGGGATGAGTCTTGGGGAATGCCCATGTGTGAGAGATGGAATGTGGAAATAAGAGGCATAGAAGGAGAGAAGAATGGCCAGAAAGGTAGAAAAAAAAAAACCAAACAAACAGGAACACAGTCACAGAAGTCAGTAAAGATGGGAGTTGATAGAGGGAGAATGCAAGTGCTTAATGCTGTAGCTTGGCCAGAGAAGCTAGAAAGGAAACCTGGACTAAAGTAGGAAAATTGGATGGACTGCTAACCACCAGAGGGGATGAAAACATTTGTTAAAAGGCTCACCCAGGTTTTAATTTTGGGTGTAATTTATACTTAATTTTCTTAAAAAGTAACATGCTACTTGGAAGTTCATAAAGAATAATAGCAGTCTGCCGTTATCTTTCTAGGCTTATTCCGTCACTGTCAGTTCTTTGAGATGTTTCACCGTATTTCTAAATACTATGCTCAGTTACCACTTCTTGATGATAAAGTTTAGATACTATCTATTGATTTTGAAAGAAGATAAGGATGTTTCTCTTAAACCTGTAGCATTCTGTGCATCTTTCAAAAACCATGTCTACATAACATATTATGTAAATGTTACTTAATACAGAGTCACGTTATATTCCCTATGATTGTTTCCTTTGGAAAATTTAGTGTTTTCCTTGGAGATAATGATCACCTGCTGTTTTTTTAACCCAGTTTTCCATATTCTTTTTTTTAAAAGATTGTGGGTTTTTTTTGTTTTGGGGTTTTTTTTTAGGTGTTTTGGTTTGGGGGTTTTTTGGTTTTTTTTTTTTTTCCCATTTTTATAGACCGAGGGGAAGTGGGGGAGAAGGAGGGAGAGAAACATCAATGTATAGTTGCCTCTTGCATGCCCCCCTGGAGACCTGGCCCGCAACCCAGGCATGTGCCCTGACTGGAAATTGAACCAGCGACCCTTTCGTTTGCGGGCCTGTGCTCAGTCCACTGAGCTACACTAGCCAGGGCTCATATTCTTCACTAGATCTGTCATAGGCCTTGGGAGAGATGATCAATTCATTTTTACCCCCTAGAGTTTCCTTTGTAGCCATCTTTCTCTTGTTCTCTTCTGGACTATGCTCTTTTTGGCACTTTCCATTCTAGAATTACCTTACTCCCTTCCCTCTATTAAATTATTTCTTTCCAGGATCCCATTTTATCCACTCTACTGAGTCATTTTCTAGTTTTGCTAAAGCACATTTTCTGGTAGCTTCAAGATCACATAGAAGACAAATTTTTTTGAGTCATTGCATGCCTGACAGTGTCTTTATTCCTTCTTCACACTTAATTGGTAGTTTGGTTGGGTGTAGAATTCTAGGTAGAATATAATTTTTAGTTTTGAAGGCCTGCATCATTATCTGGGCATATAGAAACAGAATCACTCTCTGCTGGGCAGCTGAGGCTGAAGTTCCCATATTTAGGCTGAGCCAAAGTAATAACAGCAAGAGAGCACAAAATGAAGAAGATACGCAGGGATGAGAGACTTTGCTATCCCAGAGAGATTGAGACAGTAACTGGGGTTCTATTAGTTTCTGGTTTTGGTTCCTGGAAATGACCTCATAAAGGTCAACAATATTTCTTGCTTTATTTTTTTCCCCTTTAACCTATGGCAGCTTGAATGGGTTTCTGTTTCTTACAACTGAATGGTCTTTAAGACAACCATCCATTTTATTTTAAATCTGTCTCTCTGTTCCATCCTGAAGGTTCAGTGCCTGTATTTAGAAATATAACCACATCCTTTAGATTGCTCTCAATTGGGAATGAAGAGTTCTAAATTATACTGGCTCTGGCCAGTGAGTGGCGTTGGGTAAGTTATTTTTCTTCCTTGTGACCCAATCTCAATGTCAATAACAATGAGATGACTATGTCAGTAAGATTTTTTTTTAGTTGAAGACAGAATGAGATTACCTTGTTAGGAGAACAGCATTTGCCAGTGTGAGTGATGGGAAAGGATTGAGTAATAATTTGAAGGACTTTTTCTTAAGGAGACTGCCTATTCAGGACCTGAAATAATTACTTCTGTCTTGTAGCTACTGACCCTGTTTATGTCCTACTTTGTGGTATTAGGACTATTAGGATCTCACTTACGACTAAAATGGAAAAAAAAAATGGCCCTGAAGGTGGATTTCTGGCTTCTAGCACAACACTGATAGGTCCCACTGGCTGATGGTGTCGCTTGGTTTATGGTGAACACCAACTGAGATGAACTTTCACGGATGCCATCTGTCTCAAGATAGTGTTTCACTCTCAGTTGCTCCAGGCTGGTCTCAGGGGAACAGTACCAAGACCTGTCCTTACACAAAAATACTACAGTCCCCTCAGCCTCTAATTTCTTATGCTCCACAGTACAGATTAAGCTTAATCACTTTCCTTTCTGGGAAACTGAGCTGAGGATGTTCATGCATCCTGAAACAGGAAGGGAAGAATTAGCCATGGGAGCTTGGGTATATGTGGTAAATGAAATTGACTTATAGATAGATGTTGAGGCAGAGATGGGGGCTGCCCCTTGGATGTAAAGTACAGTCCTCTTAGAAGAATTGTCTATGAGTTATATCTGATGGAGACCTGAAATTCAGGAATGGTTTGTATTTTACTGTCCTTCTGGAAACCTATAGAGCCCTTAACTTAAGGTGCTTTTTTGTATTTTCAATCCTCAATATAGTCCTAGAGACAGGTGTTATTCCCATTTTATAAACAAATATGAGGCACAGAGTGGTTAAATGGGCTGCCAGAGTTGGCAAAACTGGATTTCATAAATTTACAGTGGGTGAGCCTGTAGGAACTTTACTTAGATTGAGGGCCAGATTACCAGGCTGTTTGCAACACATAATAATAATATAAGCAGAATGTCTCATGGGGTGGGCAATAGCATTCTAACAAAAAAGAAAAATGAACTATTTTTCACCCTTTCATTAAGGTCAAGAAAAGTGGGTCCTTTTCTTCCTGGCTACCAAAAAAAAAAAAAGATGGGATTTATCCCTCATGAGTCTTAAGATCTTCCTGATGGCTGTCTGCTCTGGGGGTTGGAGATGGGCTAAGCTGGATGTCCACAGTTGCCCGCAGAATGGCCAGGGCAAAGCAGCCTCTGCCAGGTGCCATCAGCGTCCTGCACATTGTTGGCAGCTCCAGGAACTCGAAGTAGATGGTTCTGCTGGTGTCCTTGGCCTCACTTTTCTGAAAGGATAGGGAGAACCCTAGACAAGGCATTCTAGGGCTCCAAGAGCATATCCTGTTCAAGGCACTAACTTCTGTTGACTAGAGTCTGATGGAGGTGGTGGAGGAGGGCTTGAGCATGAGGGAAGTGAGATAGTAAATCACAGGTACATCTGGTAACAGGTTAATATCCAAAATTTATAAAGAACTTGTAAGACACACACAAAAAAATCCCATTAGAAAATGGGCAAAGGACCTAAATAGACACTTTTCCAAAAAGGATGCACACATGGCCAAGAAACATAAAAAGATGCTCAATGTTACTAATCAGAAATGCAAATTAGAACCACATTGAAATACCACCTCACACTGCAGGATGACTATCATCAATGAATCAACAAATGCTGGCAAGGATGTGGAGAAAGGGGAACCCTTTGGCACTGTTGGGAATGCAGATTGATGCAGCCACTGTGGAAAGCAGTATGGCAATACCTCAAGAAATTAAAAATGGATTTGCCTTTTGACCCAGTGATTCCATTTCTGGGAATATATCCAAATAAACCCAAAACACTAATTTGAAAGAACATAAGTACCCCTATGTTCATTGTGGCATTACTTAAAATCATGAAAATAAGGAAGCAGCCTAAGTGTCCCTCAGTAGATGAGGGCCAGATTACCAGGCTGTTTGCAACACATAATAATAATATAAGCAGAATGTCTCATGGGGTGGGCAATAGCATTCTAACAAAAAAGAAAAATGAACTATTTTTCACCCTTTCATTAAGGTCAAGAAAAGTGGGTCCTTTTCTTCCTGGCTACCAAAAAGATGGGATTTATCCCTCATGAGTCTTAAGTAGAACCCCAGGGCAGTTACATAATAGAATACTACTGGGCCATAAAAAATTTTTTACCCTTTGCAACAGTATGAATGGACCTAGAAAATGTGCTAAGTGTAATAAGCCAGTCCAAGAAAGGTAAATACCATATGATTTCACTGCTATGCAGAATTGAATGAACAGACTAAACTAACAAGGAAAGTGGGGACAAATTCGGAGAACTGGATGACAGCTATGGGGGTAGGGTTGGTGACATGGACGACAGTGATTGTAGGGGAGAGGGCAATATAAAGGGCATGAATGGTGATGGAAAAAATGCAATAAAAATAGTAAATCAAGTGAGGTGTACTTTCTGTAGAGTTTTTTTAAAAAAGATTTTTAGAGAGAGGGGAAGGGAGGGAGAAAGAAAAGAACAGAAATATTGATGTGTAAGAGAAACATCAATCAGTTGCCTCTCACCTCTTGAATGTTACCTGACTGGTTACTGAACCTGCAACCCAGAAATGAACCCTGACTGGGAATTGAACAGGTGACCTTTTGGTTTTCAGAACAATGACCAACCCAGCCACACCAGTGAAGGCTCTCTGTAGATGTTTAAATATGTTCAAAGAGGGGTATACAGTTAAAAGTTTCCTTCCAACTTCCACCCCCCACAATGACCTAATACCCGTCCCCAGAGTCAACCAATGTTGCCTGATTATTATGGATGCTTGTAAAGATAATTGTGTGCATATATAAACAGTTCTGTAGTTTCCCTTTTTCAAAAGAATACGTTTTGGTTTTTTTACTTAACCAATATGTCCTAGAGACCGTTTCATATCACTACATAAAAATTGATGGACAGTATTCATAATTAGGTTACATTATTGATAAGGATTTCTATTAGTGAACATTTCAGTTATTTCCAATCTTTTCCAAGCCCTACTGCAATGAAGAACCATGTACATTCATCATTTTATTAATGATACAGCTCTAGAAGTAGTATTGCTGGTCAAAGGGTGTGTATATTTGTTATTTTGAGTAATATTGCCATATTGTCCTTCACAGAGGTTGCATTAGTGTACATTTCCACCAGCACATGAGAATGTTTCCTCACACCAGGGCCAGCAACATGATGAGAGGTTAAGTATTGTCTCAGTGTAGTCCTGATTTAGTTTTTATCATGATGGAAGCTAAGCACATTTTGAAAAAAAGATTTTATTTACTTATTTTAGACAGGGAAAGGTAAGCAGAAAGAGGGAGGGAAACATTAATGTGTGGTTGCCTCTCACGCACCCCCAACTGGAGACCTGGACCGCAGCAATCCAGGCATATGCCCTGACTAGGAATTGAACCTGTGACCCTTCAGTTTACAGGCTGGTGCTCAATCCACTGAGCCACACCGGCCAGGGTGCTAAGCACATTTTTACATGTTCAAGAGACATTTTGTTTTTCCCTTTCTCTGAAATTGACCATTTTTCTATTGGGTTGTTTTTGGTGTTTTTAGGTAGATTTGTAGGAGCTTTTTGATATACCCCAAAATTAGTCCTTTGTGATAGGAGGTAGAAATACTTTTCTAGTTTGTCTTTTCTATGGTGGTTTTTGTTTTGCAGAATTAATTTTTTCATCTAATTAAAATAATCAATCCATTCTTTTATTGTGATGGCTTTCAGGTTTTGTGACATGCTGTACAGGCCTTCTCCATGCCAAAACTGAAAAAATTCTCATACCCCCACCCCCAGTTCTTTCATTTCTTCATTTTTCACATTAAAATTTGGGGTCTTAATGGAATTTATATTAGTGGAAAGTATGCGGTACAGACCAAACTTAAATTTTTTCAGGCTAACCACCAGTGATTCTAATACCCTTATTTGAGTAAAACTTCTTTTCATCATTGACTTGAAATTGAAATGCTTTGTCATATACACCCATATATGCATTCCTGTTTCCTTACATTCATTCTGTTTGTATGTGTGCATGACAGATGTTAGTAGATTTACATTTTAATTCTTAGCAAATAATGTCTAGATTTGTTTTCTTTTTTTTTTTTTTTAAGATTTTATTTATTTATTTTTAGGGAAGGCAGAGAGAGAGAGAGAGAGAGAGGGAGAGAGAGAGAGAGAGAGAAAAACATCAATGTGCGGTTGCTGGGGGTTATGGCCTGCAACCCAGGAATGTACCCTGGCTGGGAATCGAACCTGGGACACTTTGGTTCCCAGCCCACGCTCAATCCACTGAGCTACGCCAGCCAGGGCAGGATTTGTTAATATTTTATTTTAAAATGTTAAGTTTTTGTGGATTTAGGATGTTTGCCACCCCAAAATATGTCACTTCGGGATTATTTTAGGTTGGCTGGTTAATTTTAAGAAAAGCAGACCTGGGAGAAGCTCTGAAAAGCAAGACATTTCCCTTTGTAAAAGGACATTTACTTTTGTAAGGGAAATCTCCACTTGTAAAAGTGTTTCTTTAACTGTACTTGGCCTGCCTTCAGTATCTGTGAAGAAGGCTTGGACTTAAATTTCCATAACAATCTGAACCTTGTTTGCTGTGCTTTTCCATAACTGACTTTCTTAATGCCAACATCATCATGTCTGAAGACAAGAAGGTGGTATTAAATGTAATGGCTTCTGCCATTGGGGGAGTTACTCAGTGCTCCTGGGTTTATTCTATATGTACAGGAGTTGGGCATATTATTAAACTTTTTTCTCCTGCTAATCTGTCTTGTGTTAATTTGATTGTTAGGCTACCAGCCAAAGAACTTTGAAGGTTAAGGATGATTTTTCATCCCTGACAGTTGTATATGTGGTGGGGCAATAGTAGGTTTACAGTTGTTAGTATGTGAAACATTATTCTTGTATTATTATTTATTAATTATTGTATTATATGAACAACTGTACACCTGCTTTTGCCCTGCCCTGTAACGTGTAGATCACAGAGGACAGAGTACAAAGGTACATAGGAAATTGTTTATATTGTTTTCCTTATATTGTGAGGGAAGTGTGAGAGTCTATTAATTTTTTTATGCCATTTTAATCTGTTTGACTTGCTAAGATCGAAACTGGAAAAGACACTGGCCTTCGGGCTGCCTGTCACTACCAAACCCAATAAACAATGATAGCGATTGAATCTTTACGGGTGCTTTATTCAGATGGCTGGTGATTTGAGAAGGTGGCAGTTCATACCCTAACAGACCATCTTATCTTTTCTTTCCAGGCCAACGTTTTTATACCAGGGAATAAACAAGGGGTGGTGAGGGCTTTGAGATTCAGAGCGGATTAGGTGAAAGAAGGCACAACATCCCTGTCCTGGGCAGTTAGCTGTTCCCAGGGGCAGTTGGTTGGGTGGTCCTCTGTCTCTCCCTGGAACACAAAGGCTCAGATGCCTCCAGTTGTCCCCAGGCGGTAATCTTTAGCAGTGCCCCAGGAAGTCAGCTGTTTCCCCAGGAGCCAGGGTGGGCATTATCTGTAGTTTCTGAAACAAAAACTTTAACATATACATTACTTGTTAGGCTTATAACTTTTTACCTTAAAGTAAAATTTTCCTACTCTTGAGCTCCCTATCAAGATGAGCCTATAACACTTGAGTAGAATATATGTGTGCATGTATATGTCTGTAGCTATTTATTATTGTTCTGCCTGTACATGCACACACACATATTTGGGAATGTCAAAATGTAGGGTGTTCACTTCTAGAATTGTATTGGGAGTTGAGTGACCAAAAAGACTTTCATCATGTGTTTTTTATACTATATATTTTTACAATGAAAAGTTTAAGAAAAGACTAGTCAAACTAACCTGAGGTTAGAATTTAAAATGTGTCTATTTGTGGGATTAATAAAACAGTAGAACTAAAATGCTACATAATACCATGTAAGAAGAACCAAGAAGGAAGTCAGAGAAGTGTTCTAAGGTAATTTCCTTAAGACTGAATTGTACATAATCCTGGAGGCATTAAAGACTTTCAAAGAGGTATGTGAATACAATTAATTGAGCTAATTTTCTGATTCTTAATGTATTTCTTCTTAAAATTGATTTACATGAAAATGCATGTAAATTTACATAAGAAGGCACCTGTGCTAGAGGCCTCCTGCTGATTCTCCTTTTCCTACCTCCTCTTTTCTGGTTGATCTTTCCCACATTTTTTAGAAAAGAGAGGCAAACCTCACTCATCCTGGCCCTTATCTTAGGATCATTGTCCTGGGGTATAACAAACTGCAGGGAATCACAGGGATGATTTGAATTATCTGGCCTAATCGAAGGTAAAAACATTTATTTGTAAACCAAGTGTTTTCAAATTCTTTTAACAAATTGAAGAAATTGCGATGGAATTGTTATTCATAGAATATACTGCTATCTTGCCTCAGTGTCCATTTCCCCTTTGCCTCTCTTTTTAAAGAAATCATTCTGCCCACCTCCACTGAGTTTTAGCAGAGAACATGTCTGGCTAGCTGGAGACATTTCCTAGCCTCCTTTTG